AAGGAACTCACGTCTTTCCCGTGCGAGAGAACCAGCCAGCATTACGGTGTGGTCACGTGTCGGTGTCGGTGCGCTCGATCGGTTTACACATGAGCAACTTTTGAAATGAAGGCCAGCGGTGAAGATTCAAGATTAATTCGATTGAAGTTTGTGGACTTGATTTTTCATTCCCCAGCGCAGCCAAGCGGCAGTTTGACACATCGCAGACGCACGCACGTGTGAGGGAAAGTCAGGAGCCGCCTGGGTTTGAGAGGAAGAAACAAGAATCAGGGATAGGGATGCGGATGCGGATGCGGATGCGGCTGACAGGGCTCGTCGAGGGACCACCCAGTGACAAGGCAATGGGCATGGCATCTGTTTCGACTCGAGAAGGCTCGACAGCAGGGCTGTCCGCGTGTCAGTCAAGAGTGGTGTTGCCAACGGCACCGTGCACGATAACGCAACTGTCCGCATACATGCCGTCACGATCGCACACGTTCCGATTGTGATTGCGCACGAAGGATGATGGGGCATCAGCAACTCATATCAATTTGAAGACATTACACTTTGCAAGATTGGACATCTCCCGAGTCTGGAAGTTATTGCGTGCCATCCACGCTTCAAGCGATCGATAGAGGGTCTCGAACGAGCACAAACGTTCAAGCAAGCTTGGCGAAAGATCGACTCGTCGAGAGGTGAGGAAGCGCAAACTCGCACGCCTGAGGGGTCCAAGTAGCCCTCACCTGCAGCGGCAAGTCCATCTTCGACCATTGCACTGTGACTCGATCCATCCGTCAAGAGCGATGATCGTCAGCCGACAATCTCAGCCGATGTCAGCGTGACGCTCGAGCCTCCAAATGACGAATGACGCAGAGTAAGCCAGCGCTGTGGCAAGACGCGCGATCAAATAGCTCATCTGCGCCCTCTGCGCTCCAGCCTCTTGAACTCGGAAAATGGTTCCTGAAGCGGACGCGCTATTGCAGCTAGCTCAAGATTTCTGAACTTCCTCGAATCGTTAGTCGGCAGAATCGACCGTCTTTCCAATCAGCAACGTGAAGCGTAGCGTGAGAAGGCATCGCAACCGAGCAGCGTATA